AATTTCATATAAAATTATGTCAATAGCTAATATTAATATATAATTACCAAAAATTATCCTCTAATTGTAAAAAACTGTAAAAAAGTATTTCGAGTACTATTTGATAGTAAGAAAATTCTGAGCTAAATAAACTTTATGTAAGAAGAAAATTTTTCAAAATAGAATCGTCAAATATCATTAAATGATATGATGAATAATATTAATCGGTCATGGATAAAACATATGTTTTAATTATTAAACATAATCAAATTAATAAATCTAACAAAAAAACAAAGTATAAGCTATAAGTTATAAATAACATTGAAATGTAAGTAAGTACCTAAAGAAAGAAGAAATTGCAATAAGTTCCAAAGTTGAATCATGCAATCTTTGTGCGCAACTTGGCTGATAACGTTCGTCAATGATTCTGCGAATACTTTTACTTATTTGGTTTTGTTCAATATTTCTGAATTGATTTAAACCATAATCTTGAGCTGAAAGAGCACTTTTTCAAGTTTAATTATTTTAAAATTAGTAAATTTTTTAAGTGAGTAAAAAACTTTATTAATTGCAAAGCTATTTTTACAACATTTTAGTTGATATTTTGCAGTATTTTTAGTTTGTTTTTGATAGCTAAGGCTTAAGAAATTATCTATCACACAAATTTCCGCTATCTATCATAAGATGCTAATGAAATGTATTGTTTAAATATTTAAATTATCTTGTCATAATTTTTTCAAAAACAGTAATTAATTATCATGTATTTAAAATTGAATAACCTTTTTTGTGAGCAAGTTCTTTTTGGGTCACACCAATCATAACTGGTACTCGAGCATATTGATTTATTAATTCAACACCTGACATAGGTATCAAATCATCGTCTACAACCATTTTCGGTGCTCCTAGCTTGATAGTAAATCAGATTAATATTTGGCATGATGCTTCATTAATGATCTATTAATAATTGATCTTAATGAAAAGTTGTAGAATATTGTAATTCTTAAAATTACAATCTTTACAAAAGTTGCCAGAAATAATCTTAGCGAAAACCTCAAAAGCAATTGCGAAGCGAAACGGAAATGACGTGAAATTCAATTCCTTGCGAAGGCATTCAACAACTTCTTTATCATTCATTTCTCCATTGTTCTGTGAAAAAAATTTGCATAAACATCAGCTGTCTTTTTCATTCAATATATTGTTATTACGGTTGATATGGAAAATTAGAAAACGAGATGATTAAATAAAATCTCTCAAAAAATTAATAATTTGACAAAATATGCAAATTTTATTTGGTTACTTTTCAGTATGGCAGATGTAAAATGCATATTTTGCTTACAATAAGTATTTATTGATAATATATTTATATCTGTTAAAATATTGAAAAGTAAATGTGCTGCGATACTTTCACGTAGTAAGAAAAATGAATTACTTACAGTCAAGCATTCTGGCACTTTATTTTGCAAATTGCATTCAGCGGCAATATCTGAAATGGTAAAAGTTTCGAGCAAACTTTGTATCGTTTTCTCACGGAAGTGCTTATCACATCGTGCATAATCAGCAATATTATTAGCACTATATAAATGATGACCATAGCGATGGACAGCCCAACCGGCGATTGATGACCCAGACAACATAATCGATTGATGCATTAGACCTGAAATATGACTTGATATAGTTTGATCATGATCAGTCACCCAAAAAAGCATGCTTTTATATTAAATGATAATGCTTAATATACAATAGTTTCAATTCATAACTGTAGTAGAATATTATAATAAGCTATATAAATACGATTATTTGAAGAAATATGTTTGTATTTATGTGATACGAAATTGATTCTACTCCAGAGTTTCACTATTTTGAAAAGAATATTACTTAAAAATTTAAATTTTGAATAGAATGAATGTGCTTCGAATGGGAGTCACGCTAGTCATGATCTATAAAGCAGTAAAAATCATTTGATATCAAAAAATGAATTTTATGGATTGCAAGAAAATTTGCATATTTTGTCAAATTATCGATTAAAATTGCATTATTTTGTTTTTTAAATTTACATACTATCAAAAACTTTTTTAACTGAATGCATTTGAAAATCTTGGAAAAGTTTGGGAAATCAATTCATAATTTAACATCCCATAAATACTGTAAATTGTAGCATATATCATTTTTAACAATACCATTAAAGGATTTTAAAAGAAAATAATAGCATAAATATTATCATACTTTGTAGATATCGCTTTTACAATAATTCAGTTAAAAGTTCATAACTAATAAACAAATTAAAATTGATTTTTACACAGAAATAGTTTGCAAAATAAATTTGTAACTTCAAAAAATGTTTTTCTATCTAAAAAGATAGAAAAAGCAAAATTGGCAATCAACTTTTTCAATATTGCCTTTGGTTCTAGGAGATACTGCAAGTATTGAAGCTGCGGCAGCACCAGCACCTGACCCCATAATTGTAATTTTTGATGGATTGCCATTTAATTGTTTCATATTTGCTTGTATCCATTCTAATCCCATAACCAAATCCCAAATACCGAAATTTCCTTCGATACGATCGCCATCTTTATAAGAAATAAAGCCTATAATTGTAATTTTATTTAATTTTGTTCATATACATTAAATCTTGAAAAAATTTGAATTCAAATTCTGAAAACTTCATTCAATTTTTTCAAAAACAAAAAGGAAAACTCACCCGAAAGTCCTAATCTGTAATTAATTGTTGCTAAAACAATACCATTAGATGTAAAATGCTTAACGATTACTTCCATATCAATATTGGTATCAGATGAACCAGCTACAAACGAATCACCATGAATCCATACAAGAACTGGGAAAAGTTTCGATTCATCTTGAGGATCCTTTAAATCAACTTAGCGAATAATCATTAATTTAGATTTGTTCATTAGTTTTATTCTCAATTATTTTTTTAGAACTTATTCAACAATTAAAATTGAAAAAGCGGTTAATTAATTTGCATCATTAATGTTTGAAATGTTTTTAATAACGGTAAAATAAAAGCTTACAATATTTAAAAGTTGCATAATGC